TTTCACCTGAATTTTGATACGGAAAATAACATTGAACAATAATAATAACAATAACAACACAATATAACCCACAAAGAATCACCTCAAAGAAATCGGCCTGTCCCTTCGCGATCAGGTTCAGCTGTGCCTCAACCTCAGATCGCATTGTTGGTAATACCAACTCGGGATCCACCTTCCAATAGCCATGAACCAAAGCTATTCCAAGCTTTGTTGGGATCAGACGCCGTCCCGACGCCACCTCAATTAATTTATTCTTACTAATAATAACAATAACAATAACTTTTATCTTGCGATTACCTAGCCACCTGTCTTCGCCGTCTATGTGGGCGCAGGTCAACCGATCCCCATGCTACTCTATGACCTTTTCTATATCTGACCGAACATTCTGACGAGTGGTTCATCCCATCTCATTCGTGGTCTGCCCAGGGGCCTCTTCACCCCTCTTGGAATCCACTGTGTTATTCGACTAGCCCAACGGTTATCATTCATTCTCGCTATGTGCCCAGTCCATCTTCTTTTGCTGATATACATTTCGTTTACTATGTCTTTCACTTTGGTCATCGAACGTAGTTCCTCATTTTTTATCTTATGTTTCCATGACACGTTACACACCCTTCTTTCCATTGCTCTTTCTGTTACAGCAAATTTTTCTTCTGCAATTCTTGTGGTTGCCCACGTTTCACTTGCGTATAACATGGCCGGAATAATTGATGAATTGAAAATATTTGTTGTGATTCTTATTGGCAGAGTTTGATCTGTCAATACCGTTCGATATTTTCCGAATGCCGCTCAATCGGCTGTCCTCCTTCTTTCCCATTCCCCTTCAGGGCAGTTATTGGAGTCCATTTGGCGGCCCAAGTAAACATAGTTTTTTACCTCTTCGATTTCTATTTAATCTAGCTGAATTTTACCTTGCATATGGTAAGAGTTTCGCATCCGTTTTGTCTTTTTCAGGTTCATTTATAGGCCCACTTTTTTGAAGTTTATCATTAGTTGATGTAAATCACTTTGAGGGTTTGTGGCTACTAACACGCAGTCGTCTGCGAAGAGTAAATGAGATAGTACTTCACCGTCCATTTTTATTCCCCCTTTGAATTCCATATTTCTGAAGAGCTCTTGTAGTGTTGTTGCGAATAGTTTGAGAGATAGTGTGTCTCCTTGTCGCACTCCTTTGTTGATTTTTATGTGACATCTTTTTGAGAGTATTTTTATTTCGATGGAACATGTTGTATTTATTAGTTTTATCATTTCGACATATTTTGCGTTGTCGCCAGCATCATGTAGAGCATTAATCACAGCTGTGGTTTCAACTGAATCGAAGGCTTTTCGATAAGCTACAAATGCAAGGCATACAGGACGCGCGTGCTTCCACCCGCGCGCAACACGACTACGCTCCTCCCAACACGCCGCGCGCGCGAACACGCCCCCCCCTCATTTCGGAAGAAATGCCATAATAATAATAATAATAATAATAATAATAATAACAAACCAATAACACTCACCGTCACGTAATTTCTCTGACAAATCGTGTTGATGTGCACTGGAATGGATGCGTCAGTGCCTATCCCATGCTTCTCCATCATCGTTATCAACTCCGACTCGGTCAAGTAGTCCGGTGGACTCGTCTGACGTTCCACGATCTTCGCCTCTCTGAAATCATCTAACGAAATTCCTCCTCACATATTTTTCAAAACCCATTCTTCAAATAAAAGAAATTTTTCATTTTGAAAATAAGTTTTGGCAATTTGCCAATTTCTGGCAAATTTCCAAAATTTCAAAATTCAAAAAATTATTTTCCAAATGTTAAATTCCTGAATGAACGAAAATTGAAGCGAAATACTTCCTCGCTGGAACAGAAAAAAGTTCGAAAACGATGCAGAAAACATCTTTTCAAAAAGGGACAAAAATCAAAAAATTATTAATCGTAAAGGATTTTATAATGATACTAATTACTATTTAATGAGAACTGAAGTAAATTATCATGACTGCAATAATAATTAA